GTAGAAGATAGTTCAGAAGTCGATGAGCCAAACAATAACCATTTCTTTTTAACCTTTCGTCTGCTTGCAACAGTTGATTCTCAATATTGCATTGCCGATGCATATACAAAACAAATCGGAACCTACTTCTGGAATTCGAGACACGTATCCTCAAAAACAGAGATAATATGATTATAGGTTTTCCCGATCTCCAATTGTGCATATCGATCGGCTGGTGCGGCGTAGTCAATAAATATCTACCTCTAAACATGTCGTTTGCAAGTGTGCATACCATTTGCATAATAGGAAAACCGAAGACCTTTGATGTTGATATTGCATAGGTTCTCGTTCACGTGGTTAGACCTTAGACGAAGACTAATCTTTCTGGAAATTTGATCACACAGGAAAGACTTTTCAGACAATAGATCCAAGAAACAGGGAGGTGATTGCAGAAATTGCCGAGGGGGGCAAGGAAGATGTCGATTTGGCTGTCAAAGCTGCCCGAGAAGCTTTTGACAACGGCCCATGGCCTCGTTTACCTGGCTTTGTAAGATTCTTCTCTCCAGTGCTTCCTTTCTTTCAATAGTGTTTCAGTAGTTACAGCCCGTAATCACCTTAAAATTCATCTCTGTTTTTTTACGTGAGTCAATGATACGCATGATATCCAAGTTAATTACTGATGACAAATTAATAATTTAGAAGATTGAGTATCCGGACCAAGCAAACTAACCTGCCGGATCAATCAAGTTAAAGAATTTGTTTATTGGCCTTTCTTCCATGATCAAAGTCTTGTCAAAGATAAAGACTTTTAACCGAAATAGTGGTCACGAGAAATATATGGTTTGCTTTGGATGATAGAACTTTGATTTTTCTTTACAGAAGAATATTTGAACACCTCAACGTAGAATTAAATCATTGATACCCGCTCTACAAGGCAATTATAACCGGTGACGCACATCTAAATGCCCTGCTTGTTGCCTGATTTCGATGTAGGAACTTTTACTCTTAATTGCCACGTTTTCACTTTTGATTAGTTGTACAATTTGTTGTATCAGTTTTTAGCCTATGAAATTTAAGCCGGAAGGCGGTAAGTAAACCACCCGCCTTTGGGTTGGTGGCCACCACCAATGCATGAAACCTATCATTGCCTCCCATCAATTTGTCACATTAAAAGTCGCTCTGTTCAAAAAATTCAGACGGATGCGCAGTGCACCCGTCTGGTTCGGTGATGATTCAGTTCCCTCTGAGCTACTTTCAGACCTCTTGATGTCCTTCCCCTCTCTCTAGTATAGGATACACAAAAAAAAAAAAAAGAGGAAGGCGGCAAGTAGCAGCTAATAGTTGTAATATTTTAATGGTATCCGGCTGCTTCATGTTCTTAAGCCTATTTTTCCGCTGGCAAATGCTGAGAGAACTCAAAAAGTCAACTCTGTGATCAAACTCTTTAAACTAGGAGTAGTTTTTTTCAATACTATCTTTATCTTATTACCGCCTAAGCTGGGTGCCACAATTCCTACACTTGTGGTTTCTGGGATCCACCAAATAAATATAAATTGCCTACTCTGCGCTTAAAGAATAGTACTTTTTATACTCACTATCGGCATATTAGTAGATCATGTGTTCTATTCAAAAATTACGTTGTGATGTACTTAATGTAATAAAATTGATCCTAAGTTATGTATGAATTATGATAACTTGATATATGATAGATGTAAAAATAGGAGTACTAATTTAAGCCATGCGTGTAACACTTGAACACGCATATTTGTTATACATGGGACCATAGGCTGAAATATCTTCCCCGTCGAGTTTTGACTCACTCCGGATTTACATGGCCCAGAAAAGTATACATTTTGTCTCAATCACCATTAGTATCAGTCATCATCACCAGAATGCGATGCTTTGCTTTAATTTGGAGGCTTTTGGAAGTTCAGCATCTATATGATGTGAATATTTCGTCCTAATTTTCCACAAATCAATTTCCGTTCGCTCTGGCCATATTTTCAAGATTTAAGCAATCAGTTGTTTCTTTAAACGTTTTTCTTGGTTGAACTTGCAAGTCTCAATCCAGAAAAGCTTTTTACATTTGTCCATTTTACAGCTCAATGGCTTTGTGAGCAATTGAGAGTGTGTATGGTTTGGACTGCTTGAAACTAAGCATTCTTTCTCTGTATGCGTTGTTACCAGGAGAGGCGCAAGATAATGATGAAGTTTGCAGACTTAATAGATGAAAACAATGAAGAATTAGCCACCTTGGAGACAATTGATGCTGGAAAATTGTTTTTCCTTTGCAAGATTATGGAAATTCCAGGAGCAGCAGAAACAATTCGCTACTATGCTGGTGCGGCGGATAAGATTCATGGGGAGACTCTGAAAATGTCGACCGCGCTACAGGGATACACATTGCATGAGCCCATCGGAGTTGTTGGACACATCATTCCCTGGAACTTCCCTAGTCAAATGTTTGCTATGAAGGTTGGCCCTGCATTAGCTGCTGGTTGCACCATGGTTGTCAAGCCTGCGGAACAAACGCCTCTGTCAGCTCTCTATTACGCTCATTTAGCGAAGCTGGTAATCTTGCATTTTCTTTGAGCTTAGTGAAATTAAACGAGACAACAATCGAGTGACCCATAAATTTTTTACGAATTCTGCTACTTGAAACAGGCTGGAATCCCCGATGGAGTGCTTAACGTTGTAACAGGATTCGGACAAACAGCTGGTGCGGCAATTAGCTCTCATACGGACATTGATATGGTAAGCTTTACTTGAATTGTGTCTACGAGTATCGTGCCAAACTCCATATAGGAAAGGAAATGTGAGAAAGCTTATTTCATTTGACACACGTGCCTGTTATGTTCAGGTAAGTTTCACGGGTTCTACGGAAGTAGGGCGGCTTGTCATGCAAGCTGCAGCAACAAGCAACTTGAAGCCCGTATGTCTAGAACTGGGAGGCAAGTCCCCCATTTTAATCTTCGATGATGCAGATGTTGACAAAGTAACAGAACTTGCACTGCAGGGAACTCTATTTAACAAGGTAGTCTTTCATTAATTTCTTTCTTCGTCTGTGTGATCTGTTTTTCGATCAAAGATGAAGAATACTGACTTACTTTTGTTCTTCCAAAAAAAAAAAAAAAAAATCAATTCCAGGGTGAAATATGTGTTGCTGGCTCTCGTGTTTTTGTTCAAGAGGGGATTTATGACAAGTTTCTACTGAAGTTGAAGGAGAAGGTGAAAAATTGGGTGGTCGGTGATCCTTTTGATCCAACTTCTCATCAAGGACCCCAAGTATGTGAATCAGAAACTGGTTTATGTCCAGTAGCAAAATCTAATCGCCATCATCTCATCTGTGGATATCATCCTCACAATGTTGAGAGACGAGTTCTCCATGGTTGTTACATTCTCAATTTTCATTTCCCGTCTGATGCAGGTTAACAAGAAGCAGTACGATAGAATACTTTCATACATTGAGCACGGGAAGAAGGAAGGTGCCACCTTATTCCATGGTGGCAAGCCTTGTGACAGGAAGGGCTACTACATTGAGCCGACAATATTCACTGATGTCACGGTAAATCTCTTGAATCAACAACTTTCCAGATTTGACTGGCAAAAGCATTTTGGATTCCTGTTGCAATTAATCAATTATTTTGCTTGATGCATTGCAGGATGAGATGAAAATTGCACAGGAAGAAATATTTGGGCCTGTTATGTCAGTGTTCAAATTCAAGTAAGTCAATTAGTACTAAGCCTTCAAAAGCCTTATTCCTTCCCTGGACCCGTGTTAATGCTAAGTAATATTTCATGCTAAATAACACACACAGGACCGTTGAGGAGGCAATCAAGAGAGCAAACGCGACCAAATATGGACTGGCAGCGGGCGTTATGACTAACAACATTAACATTGCCAACACCGTCGCAAGATCAATTCGTGCGGGTGCTATCTGGATAAATTGTTACTTTGCCTTCGACAGAGACAGCCCTTATGGAGGCTACAAAATGAGTGGTTTTGGAAGAGACATGGGAATGGATGGCCTCAAGAAGTATCTTGTAGTTAAAGCTGTTGCTACTCCCATTTACAATTCACCTTGGCTGTAAACATAAACATCCTGTAGCATCGAAAAATTTTTAAAAACAAAAAAAAAAGGCGGCGAAATGAGGATACATCCTCATACGGGATTAAATAATGTCAGTTTGAGAATGAATTTCTTGCACTTTCTTATTCGTATCCTCCTGTAAAATTATTTACCTGCGATGCTGATAAAAAAGAAGAAAGTCGAAAATTAAATTGACGTCTCTCTCGCCCGAGTTCTGATGGATTAAGTTGCTCGTTAAAGCGGTTAACTAAAGCTTGGAATATTGGTTTCTCTATGGCAATTTCCAACCTAAGCAAAACGAAAATTTTCTTTTTGGGTAGAAATGGCAAAAAGACTATCATCTTTTCACATCGGTTAGGCAGGAGACAGGATTTCAACGTCGAAGCAAGGGAGAACAGACTCTTCCGAGAAAGGACAAAGAAGAGACTCCAGCGTTCTCCTTTTCTTCTTTTTGGGTGGGGGCCACCGTATTTAAAATGAGGATGCTGTCTCAGCAATCCCAGACAATCCAAGGATGTTTACCTCGATAAGATTCTTTAATAGTTATACAACGAAAAGGAAACTCCAATTGTAAGCCCAGTTGATTGTTTCCCTAGCTCGAAAGTAAATTATTAGCTAATAGTTATAGGAAAAAGCCGCCGGCGGCCTGTGCTAGTAGAATAGCGTTGCCTCCTCTTTTTTTTTTCTTTTTGGGCCGCCGGGAAGGAGGGGGGTGGGGGGGTTTGCTGCTGAGGTGGTCCCTCGAAAGGAGGGTTGAAACTTTAAACCCAGCTACTACATCGCAGCATGAGTCCTTTTGCCTGCCAAAAACAGTAGTGCTTCCGATTGAGATAGCCCATACTCAATCGACGTGCTTTGCTAGAAATTCCGAAAATACGGCTTTGTTAATTTTAACAAAGAAGAAAACAAAAATAAAATAAACATGCATCATTTATCGGCTGAGTAAATGCTTAAGGTAAGCAAGAAACATCACCGTCCGACATAACAACAATAATAATTAACATCCAACGGTTGAAATTCTCAACGACAAATATCAACCTAAGGTGACAGATTGTTCATTTACAAAACTTCATTAACGTTCAGCCTATATTTATGCCATTTATTTTCTTAATCCCCTAAGCTTAACCCCCAAGACTCTCTCCACCTTAGCCAATACAGCCTGATTAGGCACAGCCTTCCCATTCTCGTACTCCTGAACCACCTGAGGTCGCTCGTTAATTTGCTTCGCTAGCTCAGCTTGGCTCATCTTTTTCTCAATTCTCGCCTTTTGTATGGCCTGCCTCACCTCCGTCAATACCCGCCCCAAAGCCGCAGGCTCCTCAGCTTCGTCCAGCTTTCTTGCATTTACAGCAGGGGGGGCTGCCTTCTTATTTGCTCCGGCATCCGCTTTTTTGATTGTTTGCACCTGACCACCTGTTCTCAAAGCTTGGTTCACCGCCTTGGGGTCCCTCAGGTCTTGAGCCTTGGGTCTAGACTTTTGCAGCACCACCGGCTCCCATTCCTGCTTGATCGCCCCCTGAAATCTGCTCGGCATCCTTCACAAAAATAGCAGGTTGATCTTCTTCTTCTTCTTCTTCTTCTTCTTTCTGCCTCCTGTCTTTCTTTCAAACTAACCATCAAAAGCGATTTCTTGAGGAGGGCCAGGACGGGTTTTATATGGGGTTGGGATTCTGGAAGAGTCGGCTAGGGGAAAAAGGAAAGGCACGAGGTGATGGCTATGGATCTTGAAGGTTCGCGAAGGTACTACTAAACTTGTTGTCCAAGGATGGTGTGGTGGTGAATATCCAGTTCTCTGATTGGTGAGTTGGCAGCTGTTGATTGGTTGAAAAGAAGCCACGTTGGTCTCTGCATGAACTTGGTGCCCAAGTAAAACGGTAAAAAGGGTTGGCCTCTTTGGCTCTTGGTCAACGATGGATATTAGCGAATGAGATGTGCCATTTGTCCACCCTAAGTATTTTAATGCTGGAGCTTTTTCTTTTTCTTTTTCTTTTTCTGTTAGAAGAACGACAAATACATCTTCAAGTTTATGAAATTAATGAAATGATAAGTGTGATGTATATTCATCTCCCTAGGAGATGCATTAAGCATTCATCCTTTGGTACATTCATTGATAAATTTACGTATTTGAAATATTAAATTCATATATCTATATTAATATTGACAGGTGTGCCTTTAGTCTTATATCACTTAGAGGGTTCACAAGTCTTATTTGAAATCTTTGGGAAAATATATGAATATAATCTCTTTTTCTAATCCTCTTGTCTCTACATTTCTTTACTTCATTTAGTAGTTTATGTTTTATTAATTTCATAACACGTTATTAGCGTAAGTCTAACTTTGAATAAATGTGAAGCATGAGTATCTAACTTTAGTCAATCAAGTACAAGTTTCTAATTTTGAATTATCAAATACAAGTCTCAAGTTTGAATGATTGTTAAACACATGTAGAAACCTGTACTTGATTGCTCAAACTAGATACACATGTTTCCCTTTTTGCTTAAAGTTGGATATTGGTGTTGATAATATGTTGTGAAACTAGTACTAATGAAATAACAAAATATAATATAATTGAGAGAAGTAGTCAAAAGTAGAGAGAATGTTTATTATATTCGCTCGAGTGCTCAAAAGATGAATAATATAACATTTTTCTCTGCATTTTTTTTTACTTCATTTGTTAGTTTTACAACATTCAATAATTAAAAACGGGTATTATCGAACAAATTTCTTTAAATTTTTCTTTGAGCCTCTGACAACAAGTTATTCTTGTTTAATTATCTATCTAGAGGTTGTTTAAAGGATTTCACTGCTCAACTCAGCTCATGAAAATAGATATTCTAGTTTCAAATACTACTAATAAAAATTGAAAGTTAATACATACATCCTAGTTGAAGTTAAGGTTGTCGGGTCGGGCCATCTAAGTCGGATTTTAACAACCTCATGCTCGATTTATTTAGTCAATAATATATTTGGATTTCAAATAATGAGTTTTGGCCTAATATGTGTGAAGTTCATGCTTAACTCACAATATATTTGAATTTTGAGTTTAATTCAAGTTTAGCTCATATTCACTTATTACTCCTTAATTTCTTTAATATAATTACTATACCATTAAGTAGTAAAGTTAATTTGTAATATACAATATTAAAATTACATATAAATTAGTTTAAATTTCATTAAGAGTTCATAAATAAAAATTTTGTCAACAATTCTTTTAAAATACTTGAAAATAATAATAATACATGATTAATAGTCAATACTAATAGAGTTTTCTCTTTAAATATAATTATTTAATGAATCTAAATCTTTTCAAAACCAATATTAATTACTAATAGTCTACTCATACATTACGTATTTAAAAATAAGATATTTATAGTTATATACATTAGAATACATAGACATGCACATATATAACAACGGGTCGGGCTCTAATCAATTTGATCCTATAAAACCCGAAACTTAACTCACATTTTAGTCGAGTTATGAATGTATGTCTAAATTCTACCCAACCCAAAATTATAGTGGTTGGACCCCTTTTCTTTTGGGCCAAACAGGTCGAGTCAGAATCAGTTTGACCCTCATTGATAGCCCTAGTTGAAGCTCACAGAACGCGTTTGCATTATTCTGGAAAAGCCAATGTGTCCACATCTAGAAGATTATACACATTGCAAAATTCTTGAAGGCAAAATTACCCTCATTAGGAAAAATTACCATATGTCTTTCCGTTCTCCTAATGTCGGGTCTACACTTCTGGCTCCACTTGATCCAAGGGAAAAAAAAAGAAGAAGAAGAAATATATTTCAAACCAAAATCAATTGTCTAATAACTTTCGAAATAATCAAATTTCATTATTTTAAAGTTTTCCGTATTTTCTCTACAAGTTTTCCCTTATTCAATTATCTGTATAAGATAATCAAGAAATTACATGAGGTTAAACACACACACATGCAAAATTAACCTTGATTAAAAGTTTACTACTTCGTTTATCTCTTTCTATGCAATTATATTCATCCATGTGGATTCCAAAATTACACATCAAAGATTACAAATACAAGACAAAACAAGGATCTGAGCTTGAACTTAGCAAAAGGGTATCAAGGTTACGTCGTGATGTAAATTGTAAACTAACCCCTTTATACCCAGTGAACGATTATAGGCCTCGTAAGAGATTAATCTACCTAACCGTGCCTAAGCCAACAAATGCAATTAGTCCTAGATGCAAACACATGTTATTCTACAATATATATATATATTTTTTGATATTGATACTACTCTTATTGGGAAATCTGCCTAATTGGCCTCAGACTATTGCTTAAAATGACACAACTAGATGCAAAATGTTCTCGGGTTTGTACCATGTTGGATGGCATTATAGTTGAAAACTGAATAATTGTCAAATAAAAAGAAATGATGTAATTTGGTGAAGCATACACTTACACTTCGGTTTAATCATATAAAACTCGTGTGAATGATATAATTAACATGTAATTTGTGATATTTCAGGGCACTGGACTAATTCAAGACGTACGTAAATTGGTATGGAACACCATTTACTTTTATTAATATATCATGAAATACTACTTAATCAGGCAATCAGAAAAGAGTTAACGTGTATAAAACTAAATTAAATTGACATCTTTTTTTTTTTTTCCTTTTTTTCTCTGGTACATAATTAAATTGACACCTTCGAAGGATGGATGGCTGGATTGGTTCAAAGAGCCAAATTGCCCTAGAATTTCCCCATCTGACGCTCGTTACTGGGCAAGTGGAAATTTCTCCGCGGTCTACCACACGCCACTGGTAACAGTAAAATCCGAAAAACGAATCGAACGGCCACGAATACACCGCCCAGTTGAGAACCTCCAAAATGTTACCCATTTCGGAGCCAAAACTTGGCGCCAATTCTCTTTATCACTCTCTCCTTTCTCTGATTTAAAATCGTCAGTGGCTCTCCTCTTCTCCCTAATCGCTGACAACCAGGGGGAAAAAAAAATGCAGCGTCAGAAGTCGATTCTTTCATTTCTCAAAAGACCGTCGGCGGAGCAACAGAACTCCGGCGGCCGAGCTCCTCATTTTCCTCCCAAACATCAGAATCAGATTGGAGCTGGTATTGAATTTACCAAAGCTATTTCTACCTCCACAATTGACGATTCGGTTGATGACGTCAGAGGAACAGATACTCCGCCGGAAAAAGTGCCGCGTCAGATTTTCCCCGTCAACGACATTGAGAGCGGAAGCAAAAATTCGCTCTTCTCCAGTATCATGCACAAGTTCGCGAGATTCGATACTACGAAAATATCTTGCAATGAGTAGGTTTCTTATGCTTTTCCTTTTCCTTTCCCTTTTTTTTTTGGTTTTTTATTTCTTTCTTTTAAATGTTTGACTATGAAACTGAAATACTCATCGATGATAGGTTGGTAAAGTTGAATTAATTTAATTGTATGTTGCTAGCATTAAGTAGCTACTTTTGTAAACTTTTGCGGTAAGAAATTGATGGCCTCTGAATTAGTAATTTTATAGGCCTCTGAATATATGGTCTGATAAATGACTCGTGAGTGTACATCTGTCTATATTCACTATTTTTGTTCTTATTTCGCGACTATACTGTGACGTTCCGAAGTGTTGTACTAGCTGGTGTACTTGGAAGGTGAAGAGAAACTGTTTCTCTTTTGAGGTAGATGTAGCAGTGTATATAACCTATATGAACTCGATAATTTACTACGATTATCTTGATAAAAATGTAGATCATTTGATAGTCGTTGCACTAGCTTATTGAGGAAATTCAACTGTTTACAGAAAGGGACCTATAACTTCTATATACCCTCAATGCAATTCTTTTTAGGTAGCATTACTGCATAAAGTTAACTATATCAATTCGTTAATTAGCTATTTTACTTTTTCCTTTGTTTTTTGCCAAGCAGCATTTAAATTCTTTGTCTGCTTATGACCCACATATTGCATATTGACTGCAAAACGGCAGGAAGGAAGCAAGTGTCTCAAACAATATTTGTTCTGTTCTGGATAAATCTAAGTCGCAGAAAGAGTTTGAAGATGGAAACTTGATTTCTAAGCAAATAGGGAGGCAAAGTATTTGCCATACTAATGGGACAACAAAGCAAGAAAGTGAGGGATGCCCATTGGTTGTTGGAACTGATGACATTGATGTTCTTGGACCAGACACGCCAGGCATGCGACCTTCAGTCCCTCGGTTAAAAAGGTTACATGATGATATTTGTAATTTCGAGCAAAAGAGTGGTTTCTCCAAGTCAAATGCTACCAAAAGGGTGAAATTTCTTCAGGATTTAGATGGTGAAAAGAAATATCTAGAGGATTCTGAAATGGCTAGCAAGTTTGAATGGCTTCATCCTTCAAGAATCAAGGATGCTAAGGGAAAAAGGCCAGGTGATCCTCTATATGACCAAAGAACACTCTTAATACCACCAGATGCTCTAAGAAAGATGTCGGCATCACAAAAGCAATATTGGGAAGTTAAATGTCAATACATGGACGTGGTGCTTTTCTTTAAAGTGGTCAGTCCATTCGAACCCATACCTTCATTACAGTGCACTAAGGATGTTTTTTTTTCCTTGTTTCTTTTGGTGAATCTAATTCATTCGTCATACTTCATTTATTTCAAAGAGTCACCTAACAGGTGAGCTTCTGCAATAGGTTAAATGGGTGACTGCTGAATGATTTCTAAACTTCAAAATTTTTGATGATTAATTTCATATTCTAGGCACTTTCTCAAAAATCAAAGACTTTCAGTTTATAACTTATCAGAGATTTCCAGTGGGATTTCATTGTGTAATGAAATAAGACTAATGATTAAGAATCTGTAACTTCTGAGTGAACTGTAGTAGGGTACAGGGATCATCTAACTTCAGTTAGATTTATAAGATTGATTTACATTACTTGCTATTCTTTGGTTTATAGATTGTCCAAACTAATTTTTGTGCCATACTGCTGTGTGATTATCATGCTTCCAATTTATATCCATTTTTTATGAATTTATTCTGCAATATGTGAATGAAGAACT